ATCCACCTTCTCTGTCTTAAGTTCAACTCCTTCTGAGAGAATAAGTATTTAAGACTCTTGTGGTCAGTGATGACAATGAATGTAGCTCCATACAAATAGTGTCGCCACTTCTTCAATGCGAACACTATGGCCGCAAGTTCTAGATCGTGAGTCGGGTAATTTGCCTCATGTGATTTTAGTTTTATTGAGGCATAAACAATTACCTTTCCATTTTGCATCAACACTGCTCCTAGAACTTCTTTAGATGCATCAATGTAAATAACAAACCTTTCACTCCTTCCGGAAGAGCTAGTATTGGTGCTGTCGTAAGCCTTCTTTTAAGTTCCTGGAAACTCGATTCACTTTTATCGCTCCACTCAAACTTGACTTGTTTTTGTGTTAGTCGTGTGAGTGCTCCAGCTATTTTTTAGAAGTCTTTAATGAATTTGCGATAGTACCCCGCAAGTCCAAGAAAACTTCTAATCTCCGTGATAGTTTTTGGCCTCTTCAAGTCCAATACAGTCTGCACTTTTGTTGGATCGACTGTGATGCCTTCACCAGAAACAATGTGCCCCAGGAATGCCACTTCTCTTAGCCAGAATTCGCACTTGCTGAACTTCGCATATAGCTTATGGTGTCGCAAGTCTCAAATAAATTTCGTGCTCCATATCAGATTTGGAATAAACAAGGATGTCGTCAATAAAGATTACGACAAACTTATCAAGGAAGGGTTGAAAAACACGATGCATCAAATCCATAAATGTTGTTGGCGCATTGGTTAAACCAAAAGGCATCACTACAAACTCATAGTGACCATACTGGGTTTGAAAAGAAGTTTTAGGTATGTCTTCGCCTTTTATCCTCAGTTGTTAGTATCCTTGTTAAAGATCGAACTTTGAATACACCGTTGCTCCCTGTAGCTGATCGAACAGATCATCTATTCTTTGAAGCAGATACTTATTTTCACGGTGATGCTATTAAGTTCTTGGTAGTCGATGCACAACCTCAAAGTTCCATCCTTCTTCTTCACGAACAACACTGGCGCTCCTCATGGTGACACACTAAGATGAATGAAACCGACTTCTAATAGCTTCTGTAGTTGATCTTTTAGTTCTTGTAGTTCCAATGGGGCCATGCGGTAGGGTGTCTTCGCCATTGGAGCTTTTTCAGGTAAAATCTCAATATGGAATTCAATCTCTCGATCTGGTGGTATAGAGACAAGTTCATTGGGGAACATGTCCGCGTATTTAGATACAATGGGTACTGCTTCGATCCCTGACTTACTTTTCAGTTTGTTGATAATGAAAGCTAAGTACCATTCTGCTCCTTTAAAAATTGCTTTCATAACCTTCATAGCAGATATTAACGAAGCTAATTTAACCCTAGCTCTGCCTAAAAGTTCTACCACAGGCTTACCAGGCACACAAAATCTAACTATCTTAGAATGACAGTCTAGCTGAGCATAGTGTTTGGATAGCCAGTCCATACCCAATATCATGTCATACTCAAGTATAGGCAAGGAAATCAAATTAGCAGGAAAGCAACTATTTCCAATTATCACATCACATGCATTATAGACCACATCAGTTAACTGGCTTGCACCCATAGGAGTTGATACCTCAAAGCAGATCGACAAATAATCCATAGACACATTCAGTTTTTGCGCATATCGAGGAGTAACAAATGAATGAGATGATCCTGGGTCTATCAATGCGCATGCAAAGTGGTTAGATACGAGAAATGTACCTTCCACCCCGTCAGCTGCTTCTGGAGCTTCCTGCCCTGCCAGATCGAACACACGTGCTGGTACCCTAGCTCGGTTGTTTCCAGGATTCACCGGTGCAGCTCGGTTATCAGTTGGAGCTCCGCTCTTTAGGCTGTCCTTAATTTGATGTTGTAAACTACCACATCTTATGCACTTACCCAGCGATCGCCAGCACTCATTACGGTTATGCCCAACCTTGGAGCAGTGAGAACAGAGTGGGTGTGCATTCTGATGGGGGGTTTCTTTTAGTAGTGGCATTTCTTGATCCACTAGGCTTCTGAAATTTTTGAGGGGGTTTAGAAGGCGGCCCTGGTGCTTGCCTCTTAAAATTTCCACCAGTGCTATTTTGAGCTTGTCCTAGACATGCCATCCCACTTTCATTAGGTGGCGGCCTCGACGGCTTCAGCATATGTGTTCGTCCTTACTGTGAGAAGACTCTGCTGCAAGGAATGCCTCAAGCCTTTAGTGAACTTATACAACTTATCCTCTTCAATGCTAACCAGCCCTGGCGCATATTTGGATAGTCGATTAAACTGGGACTCGTATTGTGCTACAGTTAGTGCTCCTTGCTTCAGATGGTAAAACTCATCCCTTCTAGCTTCTCTCGCAGCTTGTGAGATGTATTGTGTGTTGAATTCACTCATGAAGTTCTCCCAAGTCCTGTCCTTATTCTCTCGTGTCCACTTCTCAAACACATTCTTCCACCAATCGTGTGCAGCAGATTCCAGACGAAATGTAGCTAGGGACAAACGTTGTGCCTCAGTGTATTGCAACGTTGCAAAGATACTTTCAATCCGTTCAAGCCAGTATTCTGCCTTGGCATCATCAGGTTCACCGAGAAAGCTCGGCGGGATGAAACGCAAGAATCTCTCTAACACCCGATCATGGGCTTCAGGTGTGTTGGGGTTTGGTGCCACATTCATGAGTTGAGTGATTGCTGAGCTGTCAAATTATCTCCTGTAGGAGGTTGAGGCGGCGGTTGGGCGAGGTCGTCCACGTCGACGATGTTCAACCATCTATAATAAGTTCAATTATTTAACAATAAGTTAATATTAGGCTCTTAATGTTCAATGAGGAACCACTACAAGTAGATGAATTTGTATCAACTTAAATGTGATTTATGATAAGGGTTTAATGCACTAAATTCTCCTGTATTATACTAAATTTGCGCATTTTCTCCCTATATTTTAAAAATTGCGTTAGACCCCCTTCTATTAAGATTTTGCATGCGCGAAAAACCCTAAACCGTCTAAGATGACGGAAGTGGTGTGCACGCGCGTGCTGTGCGGCTTTTTCTTTATTTTTTCACCCCAAAGTGGCAAAAATTACTGTTTTACCCTTGAATTATGTGCAAAACCTAAATGGTATGAAATGTGGGCAACAAGACTCGATCCTGGGTTGAAAAGGAAGGGAATGACCGCTCAACCACTAAGCCATATGGATGGATGTGTAATTTATTTAACATAAATATATCTATACATCATAATGAAATGAATTAAATAGTTTAAAAATAAGTAAATAAATAAAATAAAAGGATAATATGTCAATTTACTATAAATTAAATAATTAATAATAATACTAATAATTTCCAATAAATTAAATTAACTTAAAATAATGAAAAAACTTAAATTAAAATAAAGTAAGATAAAATTTAATGTATTAGCGTGAACTAAAATTAAATAAAGTTGTAACTAAATAAATTTTAAATGAGAAAAATAAATACAAAAATGAAATTAATTAATAAATAAAATTAAAATAAACTAATTAAAGAAAAATAAAAACAATAATTATATAAGATAATCAAGTATAAAAATTATAAAGTAAAAAAAATAATAAATCAAATATCTTATTATGAAATAATAAATTAAATAAATAAAGAACTGAAATTAATATAATATAATATAATAAAAAATATTATTTATCAAATAATTTTAATATGATTTACTCTTAATAAATATATTACTATCTAATATAAAACAAAATGATAATTTCATTTTAATAAATTAATAGTATAAATGTAAAATAAATTGTAGTATAAAATTTCAATATACGTTGTAATGAATTGACGTAATATAATCTGTATAAATTATATTAAGTATAATTTATAATAAAATTAAATTATTAATTTAATTAATTAAATATATAATAAAATTAAATGATAAATTAAATTAAATTAAATTTGTAATAAAATTAAATGATACTTATATATATAATATATTATTAAAGTATAATTTCGAAAAAAAATATTTTTTATTAAATAGCTATATATGATTTGTATTTATTTATTTTAATGATTTTTATACTATTTAATATTTTTTAAAATCTTTTCTAAATATATAGATTTACTTAATTATTATATTATTTATTATTTAACTATAATTTTTTTATATTTATTTATATTTTATTTTAATTTTTTTTTTCGTTTAACATAATAAGTTATTTAAATTATTTTTTTCGTTTAATTTTATATAATTTAGTTTATTATACTTGAATTATCTTAACTTTATATTTTAATAATTTAATTTAATATAATTTATATATTATAAATTTAATTTCACTTATCCATAACAATGTCCATATATATCAAACATTCCTAGTTCTAACACTTAACCTTGAGTGGTGTAGAGGTTGCATTGCTTGTCTTGCTCCCATGAGGTACCAGGTTCGAATCTTAAGGGATGCAATTTTTTTTAATTCAAATTTTCGCGATATATTCAATATATCGTAGATATATGTATAATATTCAGAGGAACGTGCTTTTGAAGAAAAACTAACGCCGTTAACGGAGAAATAGAGACAAGGGACCATGTGCACCTGAAACCTTAATAGAAGGGGGTATGATGCAATTTTTAAAATACAGGGGGAAAACGCGCAGATTTAGTATAATACAGGGGGGTTTGGTGTATTAAACCCTTTATGATAACTATTAGAATTCACATATAATCAAAACATGGACATAACATAGACATTAACATCAACATGGACAGGGAAAATGCTTGAAATTACCCTGTCCAAGGATCTATCAATAATAATACCATTCAAAAAAAAGTCACAATAATAGCATCTAAAACATGCGTCAACAAACAACATTGTCCACAGGTGCGATAATCAAGCAAGTAGTAAAAATAATAATCCAAATAACAAAGCAATTCTTGGGTGGTCAATCGTCCTCCGACTCCATCATGTCCTCCTCAGGGTCCTCCACGGGGTCCTTCTAAGAACTGTCTACTGTGATCACATAGCGCGAGTGTGCAGGCTAAGGTCCCATCAAAGTGGTAGGCTGCTGGGAGACGAGTCTCTCTGCGGTAAATTGACATTCAAGAATGTCAATCCGCTGTCCTCCTAAAGAGACCCTTCGGCGAAGCCTTTGATTCTCTACTTCCATCCTAGCCATTGCATCATCCTTCACTTTGAGTTCGAGTTCCAAATTCTTCACTTTACTATCCAGTTCTGCTATCTGATGTTCTTTATCAACTAGCTCATGCTCCATCTCTTCACAGCGTTCTTGTTCCATCTGATGCTGCTGGTAGTAATGATCAACATGGTGTTCTACCTGATTCAGTTGTGCCTCCGTAAGCTGCTGCTCCAAATTGTGAACGTGCTCCGCCTGCGTGACTAGCATCTGGTGTTTGTTCTCTGAATCGTTCATCCACAGCTGCAGTGTCTCCTCTAAAACCTCTACACGGCCCCGCTCATACGTCAAATAGAATAGAAGAGTAGAGATGGGGTCCATACCTATAATAATACTCTCGACAAAACGCATCAAACAAAGGGTAGAAAACGACAAGATACTCATATAAAGCTAATACATGTATAAGCACATATAATATTAACAAGGTCAACATATAAATTAAAGTACTTAACCAATCATGAAAAGTGACAGTAAATACGAAATGATAATAATAATAATAATAATAATAATAATAATAATAATAATAATAATAATAATAATAATAAGAGATGATTAAAATGGTAACCTAATAAGGTCAAGGATCCTATCCTGGGTTAGCTCGATGTAAGTTTCCTTCTTACGACCGAGCTCTAATACCACTCTGTCACGCCTCCCACACCAGATTGGACGGGAACGCGACGCCAAGCAGTAATATGATGAACAATGAATAATACAAAAATAATAACAAGGATATAAAACAACAATTCAAACTAAGTCTGGTGAAAATAAGTTTGATAGTAGGGATATAAGTCATACGACATGGTCTCAATAAATACAAATTACAAACTGCAGCGGAGTAGTCTCAGAATAAAACAAGTACCAAAATGACAATGGGTAATACTAAGTCCCAATTTTTACAATCTCCCAAAATAATTTTATTTATGACCATGCTAACAATAAAGAGGCCAGGATTCAATTGACAAATTCTTCTCCAGAGTTAGTCTCTTCCACCATGGTTGGCTCCTCGTCTTGGGGGGAGGGGGGTTCAAAATACAAAAATGGTGGAATGAGACAACAATTCTCTATGAGTGGGTGAATGTGTGCAATGTGTGGCTTGATTTTTCAAGAAATTGTGATGCATGTTTTGAAACAATATCAATTCTTACAGTATTCATAATATGTTATAACGTAGCATACTTGAAAAATTTAGATTACTTATAACACAAATATAAATTTAACATGTACAATATATCAATGAAATAAAGCAGTGATTTCAATCCATGTGGAATGAAAGTAACTTAGTTAATGTAGCAGAGATCAACATGTTAGCAAAACAATTTAGCTTCGGAAAGAGTCGGTTTGACCGGATCCTAGGCTCTTCCTTATGACTCCCAACACATTAGGCCTTTGGCCTCAGTTTGAGCCAAAGCTCCAGGATTGAGCCGAAGCTCCAGTATGGACTATGCAGTCCCAAGCCAACCTTATATTTTATCCAGGCTCGACAAACTCCTTAGCTATGGGCTTCTGCCCAGAGAATGTCATAATCGCAATTATACCCTAATTCTACGACCCAATCACTTTGGAACGCCCCGTCCTCAGTTATGGGAATAGGCAGCAACGGTAGACTTACCGAGAACTGCAGCCACACTGCTCGATTCTAGGTTTGGTCTAGCCGTCCCAAACAGTCAAGTCAATACAGGGCAAGAGTTAAGTGTACAAGGCCACATCAAATTTAATCAATAGTACAAGTACGATAATCCCAATATTCGGTGGTAGTGAGAAAAATATTTTTTAGAAGTATAACTTTTAGGGCCCAGATATTAGAGTTAGATGGATGTGTGGATGGACACACTTATTTTTCGAGTTCCACATTTACCTTATTGAAAATTAGTGATCTTCTAAATTTTTATGATTATTATTGTTATATTAAATCAACATTTCACCTTTATTTAATCCGATATTTCATTCATATATCTTAACATATTTAATATATTCTTAACATTATTATCAATTATATAAGTGTCAACAACATCTATTTAATCATGCGGGGTATAAATAATTGTTGCATGTAAATAAAATTCTAATCTCTAGAGTTGCACAAATATATATTACGCACGCAGCAGAGAATAGAAAATTAAATCAATCTATTATCACATATTAACATACACAACGCAGTATAGGTATATAAAACAGATAAAGAGTTTAATACAATAATTTAGATAAAACAGATAAAAAAATTATTCACACACAACAGATAAAATGTAAAGGGTAAATAATTTTTTGCATCTTGTACTATACGCGTTTTTGGCATTTGCAACTTAAAGTTTTTTTTTTTCATTAGTTGCAACCTATAATACATGTTTTGTCTGTATCGCAACCTAACGGCCATCGGAGTCCATATTCCACCGGAAAAGCGAGCGTGCGACTCGCACGCTCGAAACATGAGGGTAAGATCGCCAATTGAAGTGTGTGACTGTTCGGTATCCCACAGAGTAAATATATGCAAATAATTTTCAAAGTTAACACAAAATCCCCAAATCAAAAACTCATAAAACTAGGGTTCTTGCCTCTGCGATTTTCAATCTCAAACTTTCCTTCGATTTAAACATAGAAATTGTGAATCAAACTTGATCGCCATCTTGATGGGCTGGAAGGTACGCGACGACAACCAGAATCTTCCTCCTGGAAGATTGTGCCCCGATTACGGTTTGTTTTTTGAACCGTAACTTTTTTTTTGTTTTTTCTTGTCGAATTTGACGCAATCTTTTTATATTGGTAGTATGTTTGTGATTATGCCTTCTCTTTTTTAGTATTTGAACTTGCCGACAATTTAGGGTTTAGTATATTGGTAGTATGTTTGTGATTATCCTTCTCATTTTGGAGACAAACTATTTGAACTTGCCGACAGTTTAGGGTTTATTTTAGTATTTTATTCATTTTTTTTTTAATCTGATATTGATAATATTCTTGTCCCTTCAGGTCCCAATTCACAATTTTTTACCATTTCATTTCATTATGGTGGGCAATTTCTGGAACTTGGTGACACTTGTTACACTGGTGAGCACATGACGGTAAGGCACATTGACTATTGTGACCCTGATGAATTCTCATTGATTGAAATATTTTGTATGGCTTCTGAAATTGGGATAAAAGATGTTAAGTGTGTGCATTGTAGTAGAAATGGTGTAAATGATTGTCGGTCTGTGTTTGTCTTGCAAAATTACATGGATGCTATAAATGTTGTTAATTGGGCTGATAGTAATAGAATGGTCGGTTTATATGTTGAACATATGGAGGGCACAGGGATATGTACTCAACCTGCTGATGATTTGCCTTCTGTTGATTTGCCTTCTATTGATGAACCCTTGCATTTTGTGGGGGATGATGGGTGCCCACCAGCGCCAGTCCGCGCCTAGCCAAGTCCAGCGGCACCAGGGACCGAGCCCGGTCGCACCAGCCGTGCCCAGCGCCGTGCCCGGGCACCAACTGGCCCGGCACGGGACCGAGCCTGGTCTAGCCGAACCCAGCCCGACCGCCCGGTCCAGTCGAGCCGGCGGTCCAGCTAGCCAGCGAACCGGCCGGTTCGACCGGCGGTTCGAGTCAGTTTTGATTCGTGATTTCTGATCCGAGTCCAGTACCGGAAATTTCAGTATTTTTCCGAGCCAGTCCAGTCCAGTTTAATCGCGTAGATAAGTCCAAGCATTTTAGCATATAATTAAATATTATGAGCATTATACTTAGCATTATTTTGCTTACATATTTATGTAGCCTAAGGAGAGTCGTGCCTCCGACCGCTACTCCAGCTTCCGCACTTGCATACCAGATTTCAAGTTTTCAGGTGGGGGTCATGTACTGGATGTCACATCATAGATAATATCTGTACCATGGCAGAGGTATGTTTGAGACAGTTTAGTTCCGGGTTGGGTGGCCGAGGCCTTTATACCTACCTGATGACCGTTGGGAAGGGTGAGACCCTTTCTACCCCATCGGCATGTGCACACGAGCGGCTACGGCCGAGGGTCTTTTGACCACAGATCAGAACAGACATCAGAGATCAGTTTACAGTTTCAGCTCTTATATATTTATGTTTCATGATACGTTATTATAGATGATGTTTTGTTCAGTACTGGTCTTTGCGGAGCATAGTGGTTTGCTCACGCCCCCATTATGTTTTTCAGGAGGCGGAGTCGATCGTGCCGGATGAGCACAGATGTGGCGCAGCGTGGTCATGAGAGTCGGACATATTTTACTAGCATTTTTATATCCTAGATTTATGATCATGTGTATTTTATTCAGTTTATGTACGCATGTTATGTATTCGTATTTCGGATGCTTCCGCCAGCTAGTTTTCTAGACAGTGCGAGACAGTACAGACTACGCATGTATAATTCCATAATCCGCGAGCGGACAGTTTGGTTGCATGTTTTTATTATGTCTGCGGGCAAGCCCGAGTTCAGTTTAAGTTTTTATCTGCCACATCCCGCAATAAGTCAGAATTTTCGAAAACCCAGCTCGCACATTCTTTCGAAAATTAAAAATAAAAATTTTACTCTGATTTTTCAAAGCTAGTAGTGAGGCGGGGTGTGACAGAAGGTGGTATCAGAGCGCAGAGTGCGTTTCTGTATACTTCCAAAGTTTAGAAAAACATGACCACGCCACGCTCATCCCGCGCCGACTCCGAGGTAAGTCACCTGACTCAGTTTAAGTTTTGCAAGTGCTAAAATCAGTTCAAGTATGGGGCCTAGATAACTATCCTCCTATAAGAAAAGAAAGAACTCTAGATGGAGAACTCTAGAAAGATAAGCTAAGACAAGCACTCTAGACAGGACTCTAGAATAGTTAAGTCCAAGGACTCTAGACTAAGTCAGAACTCTAGTACGAGCCAGAACATAGAAAGTGTAAGTATACCGGAACTCTAGCCAAGCTAGGTGTTTTCGGATATCATTTATTTGATTTTATTATTTCAAGAGTAGTATGGCTATTTCTTAATCGGCTATACTAATCAATTCAAGCGTTTCCAGAATTTCAGAATGGCACCGCGTAGAGATCCCCAGGCACCAGTTGAGTAGGACCAGGCTGTTGTGGTCAGCCGATTCCGTACCTATGATCCGCCCCGTTTCACTGGGGAGAGTGGCCCGTTAGCCGTGGCCTAGTGGATCCGGAAGATGGAGAGGATCTTCCGTATTATGGGGATTTCTGTGGCACACAAGATGGCGTGCGCCGAACTGTAGATAGAGGGAGTCGCCGGAGACTGGTGGGAGGATTACTAGCGTTACGCACGGAGGATGAGCGTGACGCTATGAGATGGGCTCAGTTTAAGACGATACTGGAGGACAAGTTCT